AAGGAACAAAAGACATACTATAATAAAGACATCTGCACTCAAATGTTTATGGCAGCACAATGCACTATTGCAAGGATGTGGAAACAACCCAAGTGCCCTGCAATCTATGAGTGGATTAATAAAATGTGGTATATGTATACCATGAAATACTACTCAATTACAAAAAACAATGATGATCTAGCACCTATTATATTATCCTGGATAGAGATTGAGACCATTTGCGAAGTGAGTTATCACAAGAATGGAAGAATAAGCGCCAAATGTACTTGCTACCAAATTGGCACTAACTTATCAACACTAAGGTGATCAAATAGTAGTAATATTCAATGGGGGTTCGGGGGCGGGAGTGGGTAAACTGACAACTGATGGATGCGGTGAGCATTGTATGGGGGAAGGGCACGCCTCTAATCCTAGATTGGTTGAGGCAAAGTAATAACATGTAACCAAAATGTTTGTAGCCCCATAATATACTGAAATTTAAAAAAATGACTCAAAAAACCCAAGCACAGAATGGCCACCAAAGGGCCTCACACCCACTTAGGAAAGCAGATGAATAAACAGTCCATTGTAATTCAGTAGGACTGGACTGTGAGATAAGAAGGCAAAGCAGAGGCTGCTGTCTGTAGGGGACAGAGGGAGAAGCTGCCTGCTTCTTGCTTTCCCATACCCTAAAATGAGGCACAGTAAGCTGGAGTAAGACACATTCTAACAGCAGCTACCTCCAAGGAGGCGGAGAAAATGGAAAAGAGAGAAAGCAGGGCATTTTCGAGAAGGTAATGAACCACAGGAGCAGGACATTTGCTCTAAATCAAGAAGGTTCGAACATCTGCCAACTATCCATGGGGCCAGGGAAACATTGTGAATGAGGCTGGATCCTGTGCAATGATTCCATAGCACCCTGCTGTTCCTCCAGTCATGACCATACATCTTGGGTATTGGATCTCCATCTTTCAATATGTGTGCTGAGTTTCTGGCCATAGAAACTCCTCTATTCCATGACCTTTTATGCCTGCTTTATATCTGCCAGTGTAGATACCAAGATGAAAAGATAGAAACCTCCCTTCAAGAGTTCACATTTTAGCACGATAGAAAAATCAATAAACGAAATAAGTAAATAGGCAATTATGATTCCAGATGAACTTCATTACTTCATTGAAAGCAATGATATTATGCC